TGCAGCCCTGCAGCCTGGCGTGTGTGGATGCAGCCCTGCAGCCCTGCAGCCTGGCGTGTGTGGATGCAGCGCAGACCAAACTGATCAGCTGCTGTAGGAGACTCTGCTTCCTGCGGCCTCTGATTTATGGGCTAGTTAACTTTAGACTTTGTTGGCCATTCCTGCATTCGTATTGATTCAGTCAAGGACGGGTCTCTGTTTTGACACAGTGAGCTCCTCCCTGTCCCGTCAAATACCCCTCACCAGACAAATAGCTCAGGTTTGTGGGTTGTTACATTCACAGACAGAGTTATTGTTTTTTGTCCTTGACCAAGCCACGTTTGGAAAACATCTGGGATTGACCTTGAAATCTGGGCCAGTCATGGGCGGTTGGGAATTCCCTGGCATTCGGTTTAGGCCCCTGTCCCAGTGAAACGGGCACCGGTGGTCATGTGGATACACGTAGCCTGATGTGGACGGTCGAAAAGCTGAGACCTGCTTTAAAATAAGTGCAGTGGCCTGTGTGTGACCGCGAATGGACTGAGATCCTCGGTGGCTGGGAAGCTGAGCTGTGCCGCTCTGAGTGAGATGTGGGTGAAGCAGGGAAGGTGGAGAGACAGTCGGCAGAATGTTGGCGCTCGCTCTTGTTTTTCTTTCTGCGGCAGGCCTTCTGCATGAGGTCAGTGGGACCATGCTCATTTGATCTAATCAAGGTGTAGCAAAAACAGTACATGGTCCAAATGAATCCATTCCAGAGTTATGTTGTGTCATGGGATCTGGGAGCTGGTATGATACTGGAATTCCCGTCCCATTACTTGTGCTGGGGCTGCGTGGGCTGGGGACGTGCCAGACAACCTGTTTTTCTCACGCAGGAGTTAATTAAATAAGCTGATTTTAGAGTTTGAGTCACGCTTACACTAAAGGTGTAACATCACCTTCCCCAGATCTGTGTTCTTGGGTTGGGAGATTACTGTGCAGGTGTGGCATAGATTTTCAGAGCCAATAGGAAGTACACTCTTGGGTGTGTCCAATGAGAGAGTATTTGTAGAGATGCTGTTATTTGTCTATCTGTGTGTGCCCTGTGAATGGAGCTGGTACCTGTCCGTCATGCAGCCGCCCGCCTTCGGCCAGCTTTGCAGTGTGTTGATTGGTGACCGGTGACTCTGCCCACGCCCACAGTGAACCGCCTTGGCATCAGTGAGGAACTCAAGCAGAAACTGCAGGATGTGATGGTGGACAGGCACAAGCTCACCTTGGGCAAGACCCTAGGCGAGGGTAAGGTTTGCGGGGGGGACACAACTCCCACCCCCAGTCCTACACAAGGGCGTGGTAGGGGCATGGATACCCTGGCAGATTCAGCGGGCTCAGAATTTTATGGGAGCCCTTGAATATGTAAGATTATATGGAAAATTGAAGGGCCCAAGTTAACATTTTTTCAGGAGGCCCACAATTTCGAGCTACGCCCCTGATCCCACGTGACTCCATGTGACTCCTGGTTTGTCTCCTTCCACAGGAGAGTTTGGGTCTGTTATGGAGGGCCTGCTTACTCAGGAGGAGTCTGTGCTCCGGGTGGCGGTGAAGACCATGAAGAGTGAGTGCCTGACCACTGGGAGGGATGGAAACCAGCCCCTCGCTCACAGCTTCACCCTCACGCCTTTCACTCCATCTCGTTCTCAGTTGCCATCTGCACCCGTACTGAGATGGAGGACTTCCTCCGAGAGGCCGCCTGCATGAAGGAGTTTGACCACCCCAACATCATGAGGCTCTTGGGTGAGAAGGACACTTTGACGATCCAGAGGAACCAATGTTCTGGGTGTAGAATCTGCCCCTGGATCATCAGGACCTCAGCAAATCTCATGATGCCCCTCCTCCTGCGTAGGTGTGTGTCTGCAGACGGTGGAGGGTGAAGGTTACCCATCTCCAGTGGTCATCCTGCCCTACATGAAACACGGAGATCTCCACAGCTACCTTCTCTACTCCCGGCTAGGGGACTGCCCTGTGGTCAGTGTCCCACCTCTAGCTTGTACAAAGAGTGACTGCCTCAACATGTTACAAAGAATCCTGCCTACCTGCATCACTGATGCAGAAACAAAGTGTCACGATATGTCACATGCCGTGAAGTGCATGCTACATTTCGTACGTTGACAAGTGATATGTGGTAAATTGAGTTTTTGTGACTGCATTCCTCAAAACAATAGGATTATGTTTTCCGGCTCAGCCAGATAAGGACAGGCTTAGTCACGGCCTTCCAATTTTGTATCTGTTGACTTGCTTCTCGCCCTTCCAGTTCCTTCCATCTCAGATGCTGGTGAAGTTCATGACCGACATCACGCGGGGAATGGAGTACCTGAGCAGCCGAAACTTCATCCACCGCGATCTGGCAGCCAGGAACTGCATGTGAGCCCCCATTCCTGCTCTGACAACTGGGTCTCCTCCCCATTCAGCCCATTCATTCCCATGAAGTTATAGCAATCCCACCAGCTTCCAGCACTTTCCGCGCTGACTTTATGTAGCATAAACAGGAACCCCGTGTCTGTTTGTATCAGACTTCATCTTTGGATGAATGTAACTAAGGAGAGATGGAAGAGAGGAGGACATCGACGTCAATGTTGGACAGTGACGTTCTTCCTCGTAACTTTTTTGCCGTCTGTGTAACGCCACCCCTCCTCTCTACCCCTCTCCCTCTCTCAGGCTCAACGAGAACATGACGGTATGCGTGGCCGACTTCGGCCTGTCAAAGAAGATATACAATGGAGACTATTACAGACAAGGCCGCATCTCCAAGATGCCCGTCAAGTGGATCGCCATCGAGAGCCTGGCCGACCGAGTGTACACCACCAAAAGCGACGTGGTAAGGGAGGAAGAAATCAGGATGTGAGGCAGGCCAAGGCACCGCCCATGGAACGAGAACGAAACTTAGGGCGTGTGCGCCTGTGTGTGCGAGACATATCCGTGTCTCACTCCCACTGCATTCTTCTCCCCACCAGTGGTCATTTGGCGTGACTATGTGGGAGATCGCCACCAGGGGGCAGACACCCTACCCTGGCGTGGAGAACAGCGAGATTTATGACTACCTAAGACAGGGCAACCGCCTGAAACAGCCCCCAGACTGCCTGGATAGCATGTGAGTACAGCAGCTGCTGCTTCTCCACTCAGCACTGAAAATGATCGGTATTCTTTGATAAATGCTTCCATTAGTGACTTTATGCTTGAAGCCAGGACCCCGCTATCGCCAGAGAAAGGATCAGGACGAGTCAGACATAAATGAGGCTTATAGGAAACTAACAAAGACAGAAGAGGACGTGCCATTTGGCAGAATGTGCAGTAGAGGCGGGTGGGGTCCACAGAGCCCCCCTTAGTAGTGGTTACTCTACACTCTTTTTCGACAAGGAAATGCTGGGTCTGGCTGACTCCCTGCATGATGTAATGTTGCCTGTAATGACTCACGGGCAGTGACACGCTCCTCCTTCTTTCTCTCTCTCTCTGGTGGGTTCGGGGCAGACTTCTGCGACGTCATTTTTATCTATGGTCCAAAATATAAGGGATGTGGGAAACCCAAATTGTGCTTGTCGAATTTTCTAGTGGGTCAGGCCAAACTTGCGATTTGGCTGTCTCGAAAAAGTAAGCTGATAGGGGCTGGGCCGATAGACGGCAAGTCTATATTGGTGGGGCGGGTAGCGATGCGGCTCAGGGTGGGGTATGCGTACTCTGTGCTGACCCATACCCTGCAGGAGTTCTCCACAGTGTGGGGGCAATGCAGAGTGTTGTGTGAACTCGGCGATGATCAAAGTCTACCGTTGAAAGTATGACGTGCATGATGAATTTTCTGGACCGAAATTTTGTTTAGTTTTTTCTTTTTATTTTTAGTTTCTTTGTTTGTTTATTTATTTATTTATTTATTTGAACAAGGCTTAATCGTGCATTTGTGTTAATAAAGAGTTTTTTAAAAGTCAAAGTCTCTCTCTCTCTCTCTCTTTCTCCTTCAGCTATGCCCTCATGTTCTCCTGCTGGCTCCTGAGCCCCAAGGAACGACCCGGGTTCGAATTCCTGCGCTGCGAGCTGGAGAAGACCCTGGAGGGGCTCCCAGACCTGCAGGACCCCGAGGAGATCCTCTATGTGAACATGGAGGAGGCCGCGTCCGAGCTGGGCGCGGTGGGTGGGAGGGAGCCCCCCCCAGTCCCCCTGCCGGTCTTCACCAAGGCCTCAGACCCCCTGATGGCTCCTTCTGAGGTGCAGCAGCCTGGTCGTTATGTCCTCTGCCCCCAGCTGGAAACGCAGCGCTTCTTGTCAGACTCTGTGGAGAACCTGAGCCTGGCCACCTCTTCCTCCGCACCAGCTCTGCTCCTGCCACCCGCGGCACCCCGTGTGCCTACCCCCACAGCGGAGGAGCTTGGGGAATGTGACAGGGCAGGCAGGAAAGTCCCCTGGCAGTGAGACACCCACCCAAACCCATGGCCAGAAAGACTCAATGGACACACACAGCTACACACTGCCGTAGAGGACAGAGTACTAATTAGTATCAGTCTGCACTACGATAACATCAACTCCCTTCGCTTTGCATATCATCAAGAGAAGAGAGTGTATATAACTGCAGAAATAACTGAATGCTACCATCAAACACTTGAATTGGGACTGATTTCTATCGCCAGCAAGAGAATTGAAGATTTTTGAAAGAGGATAACAAACACAACCAGCCAAGCCACCCAACTGGTGTGTTCAGTGGCCTCCTACCTTCAGAGAGGCTGCTTTGACCCCTCCAGGTCTGCATGCTCCTTCCGCTGCTGGCTTGAGCACCTTGGACCTTCTGGCACCTCAAAGCAGATTAAGGAGAAATGAGAGCAGAAATGTACATTTACAGCACATTGGCACATTGAAACCTGTCAGGGTCAAGTTGTACCATGTCTGATAGGGCAGTGGAACTCAGCTTGGAGGTTAATTTCCATGAGTCCTCATCTGGTGATCTACCTAACTCGGTGTCATGGGAAAGACAATGGCCCTAGCCTGCAGGAGCAAACTTCACCGCAAGGGGGCGCACTGAACCTCCTCTAGGACTGGCATTAGTGCAAATGCAGACCCAACACTGAAGTGCCAAGTGCTCATGTCTGGGCTGTTTAAAGTCCAATTTAGTGACTCAAGCACAGTTGTTAATGATTTTTGTTTTCAAACATATTGCACTAATATTACTACATGTTGTTCACGTAATCATATTGTATGTGTACCTCCATGCTTTTCTTAATGTTACATTCATCCTCGTGTCAACTTGCCCGGGAGTCAAAATTATCATCACAAAGCACCAAACTATGGGTCGCTCGTCCGAATCAGCCCCGGCGTCATGCTCGTGGATCACCCTGCGCTGTAACCTCACTTCCTTTTACCATCATGATCATTGAATTCTGTGGAGCAATGTCGCCCCCCGAAGGGCAAAGTGAAAATGATGCTCTTCTCTTTACCACATGGTGAGGTCACACTCACCAGTGCCTGTGGAAATCCAGGACCTGTCAGCAGCATGAGGATCAGTAGGGGTTCCTCCCCCTGAAGACCATAAGGCCCCATTCCTTCATCCTACGTGTGAACATCCCCTGACCCTAATTCCAGATTAGTAACCGTCCTTTAGTCAAAGCTTGATTTCAACACTTGCTGAGCAGTTTTTACAGGATATTTTGTTTGACTGACGGCCCAAAAAAAACACCTCTTTCCAAGTGAGAAAAAAACTGATGCCAGAAGACCGAATGAAATGGATACCGTGCCATCTGCAGGTACACCAAGCTGCAAAATTCCTTTTTATCATCGAGCACGAGTGAATCATAGGCTAAGATTATGTAGTATTTGTATCTTTTCCATGACTGGTACCAGGTTTATTATTTAATATTTTTGTATAATTTGGACATACACATGACAATGCATCACCCTCAAGCAGGTGTTGGGAAAATGGCTGTGGTCGGCACGCAGATCTTCACCTATAATGGTGGACTTTCTTCTTTTTAAATGGACTTTAAAAATGTTAAAGTGTGCCTTCTGAAAGCCAGGACTTAGCTTTGATACAAACTTAATGTCCATATTCAGTGTTAATTCTCCCATCGGACTGGGAGAGAGGAGAATTCAGCTGATGTTACTTTTTTTTGTGGAGATTTTTACATTTGAAGCATCAGTTTTTGTATTAAATAAAACACTTAAGAGTGACAAACTCAGGAGTGTGTGGGATAAGCTGCAGTGCGTTCTTAAGGAGCTCCATGCGTACGCAGTAAGAAAGCCAGACATGTTATTCAAGGTTTATTCAAGTTGTATAATTAGTATAACCTATACTTTGGTAGATGACTGACTGAAGCATCATTCGAGGCTTTGGCAGGAGCATTAGGCCATGAGATGGGATCTCCAACCAGCAGGGGGCAGTGTTTCAATCTCAGAAGTGGATGTAGGAGAGCTGCACGTCCCCAATGACCTCCAGCCGGTCAACCTTTCCAAATGGATGGATGCGGTGGGTGAAGTTGCACAGGTGCTGTCCATTCACATAGACCTTGTAACGCCGAATACCACATCGTATGGAGATCTGAGACAGACAGGGTACCGAGCAGGGACAGAGAGAAACAGACGGGGAACTCAGTAAGACTCACTGCTGGGGTTGGTCTGAGAATCGTGCAGTTTTGTTTGATAGTTCAGTGCATTCCATGCTCCCTCATCATCAGCGTGTCACCAAACCTCAGCATAGGTGACAGAGTTGTTAAGGAGATGTCAAACATGAGCACGGAATCAAGAGGTGGAAAGAGGGCGGCAGGTCAAGCTTACTTCAAAGTACTGTCCTTGCTGGAAGGGGCAGCAACTGAGTTCATTCTCCTGCTCCCCCCAATAGCCTCCCATGTAGCTGTTTCGCATCACCACCCCCTCCATCATGCAGGGGGTCAGGTGGAAGGCGATGTCATCAGACCCAGCCACCTTGAAGTTAATGGTGAACCTGCAACACACACACCACACACACACACACACACACACACACACTCTCTTTGTGAGGACTATATGGGGTCTCATTTTTATGGGGAAAATTCCAAACCACAACAATTCCAACCTTAACCCTAAGTAACCAAGCAGTATTGATTACAGTCACAGATTTTTATAAAATCTTTCTGGGGACAAATGGTCCCCATAATGTAATACAGACACACACGACTAGATATGCAGGAGAGTAGTTTAGACTGTATACAGATTTGTGCAAGTGCCAATAAAGTTGCTTTTAAAGAAAAAGCTCAACAAAGCAAAAGGAAAAAAAAACAAAATTAAGAGACATACCTATTGGCTCCATAGGGCACCATGCCTCTGATGATGATGGTCCGTTTGTGGGTCAAGCCACCCGGAATGAAGTCTAAGTATGGGACAGACTGAACACAGAGCACAAAGGCCTCAGCCTGTATCCTCAAACTCAGGGAAAATGGGTCCCGTCAGGTTCACACACAGCCAGTGAGACCCTGACCACGGGCTCTGCGCTGACCAACATTCACACCAGTGTCACTTACCGGGTGATAGACTGGCAAACTCGCCATCATCTGAAATAGACCAAGGTAAATGTTATTAAATAAAAGGCAAAGTCCTGAAAAATTAGACCACATTCCCTCCATCTGTCCAAGGTTCTGAAATTTCATCCTGCCTATGAAAATGTCCTGGCCAAGGTATCAGACCATAAAAATCTGTGGTGTATGTGTGTGCTGTTATTTATGGTCTAATTTTTAGTAATAATGAAATACCATCTCAAATACTACAGGAAGCACATACACTATATGGACAAAGGTTTTGGGACAACTGGCCATTACACCTACAGGAACTTTTATGACATCCCATTATAAATCCATAGGCAGTTGGTTCCCCCTTTGCAGCTATAATAGCTGCCACTTCTCTGGGGAGGTTTTCCACAAGATTTTGGAGTGTCAGTGGAAATTCTTGCCCATTCATCCAGAAGAGCGTTTGTGAGGTCAGGCACTAATGTTTGATGTGAAGGCCTGGCTCACAATCTCTATTCTAGTTTATCCCAAAGGTGTTTGATTGGGTTGACGTCAGAGCTCTGTGTGGGCCAGTCAAGTTGTTCCACACCAAACTCACTCAACCATATCTTTATGGACTTGGCTTTGTGGGAACAGTTTGGGGAAGCCCCCTTTTCTGTTCCAGCATGACTGTGCCCCAGTGCACAAAGTAGCACAGAATTCTCCAAATTGTCTGGGTATGCTGCAGCATTAAGAGTTCCCTTCATTGGAACTAAGTGGCCAAACCCAACCCCGGAAAAACAACCACATACCATTATCCCTCCTCCATCAAACTTTACACTTGGCACAATACAGTCAGGTAGGTACTGTTCTTCTGGCATCCACCAAAACCAGACTCATCCATCAGACTGCCAGACTGAGAATCATGATTCGTCACTCTACAGAACACGTTCACACTGCTCCAGAGTCCAGCAGTGGTGAGTTTCACACCACTCCATTTTGTTTCAACCAAGCAGTCCAGTATAAAGAATCAGTCACAGGGTACTCAACTGGTTGGGTGAAACAACATCTGGGTCTGGACTTCTACTCTCTGGACCTGAACTACCCACCTCTGGCTACCAGTAGGAATATATTTTAAGCAGGAAAAATAAATTTCAGAACACCCCCTTGTTTATCCATCACATCAAGCCTTCGCTAGTGAGCCCAGGTCCCCATTTCTGACTCTCCCACCTCACCCAGTCGCCCCTGCTGCCTACCGTCCCATCACTCACTCACTCACCGGCAGGTTGCCTCCAGGGTAGCCCATCTGCCCCTGTGACAAAAGCAAACACAGTAGCGCCATATCAGTTAATCTGCCACCAATGTGGCTAACTGTTCATGAAGCGATTCAGCACTGATGTTAAATCACAGACACCTGCGGTATCAGCAAGGCCGGCACATGCACGCATTCAGTTACAGTGATCCCCCGCTATATTGCGGTTCAGCTATCGCGTCCCCACTATACCGCGGATTTTTCCCCAACGCATCACAGTTCTGAGTATCACGTACCTTGATTGTGGTCCGATTGTTGTGAACAAACTTTGTGAACTTTTCATTTTGTTTTAAGCACTACGATTTAAGGCTTAAACTATAAAAAAAAATGCTTATTCATATTGGTCTTTCTATATCGTGGATTTTCACCTACCGCTGTTGGGTCTGGAACATAACTTCCACGATAGGTGGGGATCACTGTATTCATTTCTCTCACGTTTTATCCAAAGTGACTTACAATACGGGGAATGGTTACAAATAACATGCAGTCCCTGAGAATTGAACCCACAACCTTTGCATTGTTGGCACAATGCTCTACCTGTTGAGCTACAAGAACAGAAAGCAGACATACTTACTCCCATCCCTGGGAGGCCTGGCATACCCACCTGGGGGAGGAGAAACACACAGTGTAAGAAGCAGGTTCCCACACTCACTGAGGGGTGGAAATCACAGCCCAGGGGACAGAGTCCAGAGGGAAGGAGATGCTTACCCCCATACCGCCCATTCCTCCAGCTGGGTACACCCCCTGGTTAAAATGAGAAGGGAAGATGTTGCTTGTTTAACACATACAGATACACACGTCAACGGCGATTCACTACATGTGACCTACCACCATTCCTCCGGCTGGGTACCCCCCCGGTTAAAATAAGGGAAAAC